AGGAGGAGGAGGGGGAGGAGGAGGAGGAGAGGGAGGAGGAGGAAGGCGAGGCCCCTGGGCAGCACAAGTTAACAGCGGAGCCTCCCTCCACCATCAGTACAGAGGACCTGGTTTTCTGTAGGAGACTCACGTGTTGTCACAGGGCTGTGAAACAGAACTGCAGGAGAAACGCAGCATTTCCTTCCAACCCACAGCTCCAGCCAGGAGACTTCGCTTCTTTCTTTTGTTTCTGGTTTCCTTGCTCCTCAAGGACTAAGGGTAAGGTTTCCCCTCGTTGATGACTGACTGGCTCATTCTTTTTGTTTTGGTTTTTCTTTTTTGCTAAGTGATTTTATTCTACACCCATATTCTATCATTTATCTCTTCTCCTGGTGAAGGGCAGGGTTGTTTTTGATGGTGTGTGTGTGTGTGTGTGTGTGTGTGTGTGTGCGCGTGCATGCACACGCATGTGCATGCCCATGCATGCATGTGTGTTTAAATAAAGATGCCAAAACAGGCACGAAGCCACTGGCTAGTGGCCAGCGTGATCTGGAGGCCACTGGGGAGTCACGTGGGGGCCGCTCTTAGTTGGGATCTCATCTCCTCGTTACCTCAGATCACAGCAGTTCAAAACCAGCTGGTTTCCACTCAACTGCTCCCAGAATCTGGCAGACAATTTCCTCCAGAGGGTGACAGAGGAATAAGTAGGCTTTGGAATAGATGGATCTATGAAAGTAAAGGTAACAGACCTGAGCATTTAGCATAGAAGGGCTGGACTTTTGCCTGGCTAGGAATGTACCACGGATACAGAAGCCGAGAAGCGGCGTCAGTGCATAATCTGTGCATTGAGCCTCTTGCCTCCTTTGGCTTGTTCATCCTCTACCTCCAACATCTGAGATCAGGAGTCGAGGCAACACCTGCAGCCAGTGCATGGTGGGTCATGCTCAGAGGAGCGCGTGTGGAGGGACGAAGAGTGCATTCTAAACATTGCACACCCGTTGCGCCCTCCTTCACGCTGGGAGTGTGGATAAGTCACAGAGTGACCTGAACTTGAGTGACCTGGTCTGAAAACTCAGCTTCAGAGTCCCACATGGTCATTCTCTCTGTAATCCCAGCACTCTGGAGGCAGAGCAGGGAGGTCATTTGGCCAAGGCCAGCCTTGGTTATACAGTGAGACCCTGTCTCAAAATAGCCTACAGCCGGTGGTGTAGCTCGGGATAGAATTCCCGCTACTCCTGTGCAAGGCCCGGCTTCCAGTCTCAAGGTGCTTATGAGGGAAAGGCACTAGGAAACACAGACACGCTTCGGAGAGGCACTGGGAAACACGGACACGCTTCCTAGACGTCAGCCTGCTGTTCTTTTTCAGAGTTGACAGGCCCTGACAAATGAGAGCAGTCACTATGCGGGTCACTCCCGTGTCCAGCTGCTGACAGCTGGCGTGGAGGCCCAGGCAGGGAAGCGAGAGCCGCGGCCGCGTGGCCAGTGCTGCTTCCCACCCATCACGGATCCACCCCACCCTCTGCGTTGTCTCATGAACTCATTCCCCAGAAGGCGTGCGGATGACGCACCGCACCAGACGCTCGGGGTTCCCTCACGCTGGTGCAGGTCCCAGGCCACAGGTGCCAAAGCCTCCTCCCTGGCTGTACACACACATCAGAGACTCTCGGGCAGGGACCCCCCCCCTGAGCCACCCACGGAAGCCTCCAAAGAGTCTGTCTTGGAGCTGAGATGATGGACATGTCGCTTTGGGAATTAGATGATGAAGCAATGTGTAAGCGAGAAGTCTGCATTGAGTGGCAGCCAGCGTCAGGCCCACTCGAGTGAATCATAAGCCAGCTTCTAGAAACAGAGAAGGGCTTTGGGCCCAAATGTCAACCGAGTACGTATACCGCGCTCTCCTGTTGAGGAAGACAGCCCTTCGCAGTGGAGGTGCACACCGCCTTCCCGTCCACAGCACTTACCCACGGAGCTGCACCGCCTGGTTCAGGCATACACTCTGCTGACCACAGCATGACCATTCCATGTCGGGGCACTGGGGCGGGGCGGGGGGAGTGTGGGGGTGTGGGATCGATCGCCAGGTCTCCCATGCATAGATCACAAGATCCACAGGGGTCTAGGATTCTGGTTTGCATTAATCATAATGTCCATTACACACCCACACACAACCACACACACACACATTACACACACACATAGTGCACCAGGCTTGAACTGCTGGAGACTCTGCTTATGTTGTGGTGTAGAGCAGGGTCTCCTTGCACTTCCCAGGTGACTCAGAAGTGCACCCCCAGATGAGTAAGCCTCAAAGTCCCCCAGCAGTGTGAACAAGTGCTGTCATCAACAGGATAAAAGCCACCTGTCTCCAGGGCTGTGACCCATGGCTAAATGCAACTGCAGCCACATTGCCTAGGCCCCTGGGACGCAGGGAGTCCCAGGGCCTGTCAGGGTGCGGGGTGTGTTTCAGTGCAGGGTGTGTTTCGGTGAGTGAGGGAAGCTGGGTGAGTCGGGGGGGGGGGGCCCAGGAGTCCAGACATTGTCTCCCAGACAGCAATCTTCAGCTCTCTCCCTACTGACGCCACACAGCTTTCTTAACTTCCAACTTGAGCCCAGTTCTGTCATTTCCTCCACAGCATGCCCAGGAGGAAGATGGTGTCTTGTAACTTGCCTCTTTTCCAAAACCAAGAACTCGCCAGTCCCTTTCAGCGGAATTACACACAGAGGATGTTAAACACACCAAGGCTTTATCAGGGGGGATCATCAGCGTCCAACCCAGATTTCACGGGTCATTTTCAATTTTCTCAGATTAAGCTGTGCACTTGAGAGCATGGCAGGCAAGTCTGGGTTATGACATGGGATTTCAGCGGAAGAAAAGAAACAGACGCATTCATTGTGTTTGGGGTAATTCGGCTGGGGTGGGAGGAAGTGGGAGAGAAAGCGCAGGCCGGAGGTCAGGCGCCTGCTAGTCCCGGGCTGGGAAGCGCACGCCGTCTGAAGCGCCTCGCGGGCAGGGGAATGCGGAGGCTGCTGCTTTTGAACATGGTAACACCTCATTTGCGGGGGACACTGTCAGGTAATGACAGACTGTATGAACGATGGGGTCCTTCCTGTCATAGAGCACAGGAAACGCTCTCATTCTTACTGCTAGGATGATGTACACTCAAAAATACTCATTCCCCTGCCTTCCCAGATAGAAACTAACACAGTGGCAGGGCGCCACTGACGGAAGCTTGTAATCCATGCTCCTCAGGAGGCTGACGTGTGCAGATGGAGGTTCAATGCCAGACTATGCAGAACTCAGGGCCTTGTGTGCTCCTTTGGCTGTTTTTGCTCAAGGATGGCACTCTACCGCTGGAGCCAGGCCTCCAGCCTGGTGTTTCTCTGGTTCTTCTCAAGATGGCGTCCCACGGACTTCATCTTGAGATCCTCAGGATCTCAGCCTCCTGAGTAGCTAGGATGGTGGGAGGGAGCCTCCAGCACACGGCTTGAGAGATATTCTTCATTTGATTTCAAACAACGGGAGTAATTCTGGTGAGCGGCTCCAGGTTTATTCTTCATTCCCTTGAGGCTAAACCCCCGGGAGTGAGAGTCCTGTTGGGGGCCCCGCTTTGTGGGGGGGCGTTCCCAGAAGGAAGTCCTGCATGGCCTTGCGCAGCTGTGCGTTCTCAGCAGCCTCCCGCAGACCGCGGTGGAGCCTTTCCATCTCCTTGTATTCACTCCTGACGTCTATGAAGAGAAGAAGGCAAGCCACGAGGGGTTAGCGTACCCCTCAGCGCTGGCCCCTGGAAACACTCCCCCCCAGCAACCCGGCCACTTGTCCCAGAGTGATGATTGGACAGAGGAGCACAATGCGCTGGCTGACGCATCACCTGAATCTGTCCACACAATCCCCCCCTTACCTGTAGCCTGGGAAGAACCACAGCTACTCACGGAACGAAATCCCTGAGAGACCCACTGGGGCCCCCAAGGAGCCTGATGAGGCCCCTGAGGCACCCCGTGGCACCCCTGCATCCCCAGCCTCCAGAGGACCCCGAGGACTTGGCTGGCAGATGCTTCCACAGTCTCCAGCCTGACCAGCTGTGTTCTCTGAACCATCACCTCGGGTGTGGATGGGGCCTGGGCGGGTCCCCTGGGTCTCCACAGAAGTGCCACATTCCCGGTGGGAGCTTCTTCCGTGCCTACCCCTACTCTACACCCCTACGCGAACCCAGGCAGCCTGGTGCGGGTCCTGGCAGGAAAGGGAAGTGGTTGCTGGACTCAGGGCAAGCTGGTGCTGCCTCTCCCAGGTCCTGGTGCGTACTGAGGGGCCTTTTCCCGCTGTCCCCAGAACATGGAGTTTTTCTCGAAGAGACATAAGCCAAACTGAAGGGATATGCGAGACAGAAGGGCAGAATTGTGGCCTGGCCATCGCCACCTGCTGAGATGGAACCTGAGTTTCTTTCCTCGTCAGAGTCTGTCTGCAGCGCCCATCTCTGAGAGCGAGTGTGACATTCCACGCGGCAGTGCCCACAAAGTCGGAGCACAACGCACACCCCGTGACCTCGCTCAGGTGCGTGGCAAAGCTGGCGCCAGTGGTGATTAGCATCATCGTCTCCACCGACACCCCAGAAGTTCTTCCCCCTGTGTGTGGAGGGGGTAGTGGGGGAGGTAGTGGGGCCTGAACTCTGGGCCTGGGCGCTGTCCCTCAGCTCTTCAGCTCAAGGCTAGCACTCTACCACTTGAGCCACAGCGCCACTTCTGGCTTTTTCTGCTTATGTGGTGTTGTGGAATCGAACCCAGGGCCTCATGCATGCAAGGCAAGCACTCTATCACTGAGCCACCTTCCCAGCCCCAGTTCCTCCCGTTTTGATTTTCTGAACTTCCGTCGGGAGCAGCGTGGTGACAGGAGGGGCGTGGGCATGATGTCCCTTCATGCGCAGGCTTTACGACTTACCAGCCAGCTCCTTGCAGAGACTGTCGCCCTGGGACGAAGCCAGGGTCAGCATGGTGGCAACACTGCCCTTCATCTTCTCCGTGATTCCACGCTACAAGACAAGCACAGGCTGTCCGCTAACACCGTGAATCTTGTAGAAGAACCTCACTCAGCCCTCGAGCCAAGAGGATACAGCATGGCCTTGCCGGAGTCCAAGCCAGGTCAAGGGTAAAGGAGTTTGGGGTGCACTCATAGCCTAGGGGTCAGCGGGCAGCATCTCCCCTTTCCAGCCTATCAAGACTCCAGGAAAGTGTCCGCTGCTGCTGATCTGGGAATCAACAGCTAAAGAGGAGGTGGGGCAAGGATGCCAACCACAAGATGGACAAAGGCCAGGGCTGGTACTACCCCTGTCCTTTCCTGCTGTCCATCCTTGGACAGTTGTGCATTGACACCTCCTCTGTGCAGCACGCTTTGATGGACAGATCTGATTCTTCTTCCCGATGGCCTGAACAATGGTTTCTTGTTGCTCTCAACTCTTTTCTTTTCTTTTTTTTTTTCAGGTAAGGGGTAGGTTTATTCAGTAGACCTGCTGGGACCAGGCAAGGTTGGCACTCCATGTGGCTGGCAAAAGAGAGAAAAGAGATAGAAAAGAGCAGAGAGAGCAAGAAAAGAACAGAGAGAGCTAGAAACGAACAGAGTGAGCTAGAATAGAACAGAGAGAGAGCCTCAACTCTTTTCTTGACCACAACCATTTTTCTTCCTTTTGCTTGTTTCTGTTTCCTTTTGGAAAATACCCAACTCCTTTCTTTAGCCTGGTGGGCTCAGTTTTGAACCCAGATCTCCTGACTCCAAATCTGATACTTCTTTAATGCCAGACTAAAAGGTGTAGCCTTGAGCGAGTCACGTACATGCTCATGGCCTCAGGATTCCTGTGTGTAAGATCCCTTACTACAGAGCCAAACCGCTCAGCTGACCACACACAGAATCATGTACCGAAGACCAGGCAGGACATTCAACAGATCATTGTTTTCGTTCTTCAGTTAAAAGAACATGGTAAAAAGGTAAGGCAGTAAAATCTCAAACATCAGATATGTGTAAAAAGAAATTCTGTCCATTTAGAACTAAAATATTTCAAACACTTAAACTAGAGTGGTCTTCTTGTCTTGGACACCCTCCAGGGAACGAAAACGCCCTAGGATCTTGCCCATTTTTTACTTCTTACGTTGCTGGGATTTAGGGTACATTGGTACACAGCCAGCGTAGGAATCACTATCTCGGGGAACTGGTTTCTGAGCACCTGGAGATCTGATTTCTCCATACTTGGTGGAGGTCAGCCTGGAGGATCTGGGCTGTTTCTTGCAAGTACCCGTGTGCAGGTGGTGACTTTGCCTGCCTGAAACTGAACTGCTGCTGGTAGACAAGCGGCTCTCACCTACCCAAGGGAGGCTGGCTGCCTGGGCTGTGGAGCTGAGAGGAGAGGGGGCTGGACAGAGGCAGGCCGAGGTGTCTAGGGAGGCCGGTGCAGTCACTGGCCAGCTCTCAGCCAAGGCTGAACTAGACAGAAGAATCTGAAGTCTCACGAGGTCAGGGAGGGGTATGGAGTGGATTGGACTAAGAGGAGGCTTTCTATCACTTGATGGGAGGAGGTGGCAAGCCAAGAGACCTAGGTCTACAACAAGAGGTCCACATGTTCTTAACAGATACCTCGATGTCTAAGAGGACTCTTGAGAACCATATGGTGAGAGAGCTGGACTCAACCCAAAGCTGTCCAACTACTGAGATGCTGTAGCCAGGTTACCTCACCCCCAGCCCTAGCTCCTCCTCTCAGCGAGTGTGCGGCATCCTGCCTCTCCCTCACTGTACAGAATGCAGAGGAGAACAGTAACAGTGCCCACCTCCCAGACTTGAGCTAATGCAGCTGCCTATCTATTACAGTTGTTGTCCTCAAGTGTCTTACTAAAGAGGAAGGACAGAGGAAAGAGCTGAGCAGACTACAATCCTGTAGCCCCAGACCCAGAGGAGTGCTGACACCAACACTGGAGGACGGGAAGAGAGGAAGCTGAGCAGCAGGGGCCTCCTCTCTGGCCCAGGCTGGGCCCATGTGGGAGAAGTCATCTAACTCCTCCCGTGCTCACATGCCTACTGCAGCCCTCCCCCAGACCCCACGGAGGACTCCAGGGACGGGGCTCACGCTGAGGCTGCGCAGAGAATGAATACCTTCAGCAGCTGGAACTGGTGCTGCATCCGCTCTTGAGCCCTCTCAAACATGCCCTCGGCCACCTGTTGCTCCACCCCTCTTCGAATGACGTCCTTCATCCTCTCGCACGCTTTTCTGCCAGTGATCTGAGCTGCCTCTGCAAAAATGACAGCCAGGGTCACACTACAAGGACTTGCTGAGAAGCCTGTGGCATCAGAAAGGGAAGTGAGCGAGCAAGCAGATGAAGAAAACTAGACACACACACACATGTATCAACACATCTACAACCATGCATATAGCTATTTGCATAAAATAACACTCAATATTCAGATAACTATCATTCAGAAAACCTAATGAGAAAATTAAGTAGACTACAATCCTCCTCCTTCCCCCCCAAAATCAAGAGTCCTGAATGTCAGTCTCTTAAGAATGTGAGCAGTTGCCAGGTGCTGGTGGCTCCCACCTCTAATCCTAGCTCCTCAGGAGGCTGAGATCTGAGTATCGTGGTTCAAAGCCAGCCTGGGCAGGAAACTCTATGAGACTCTTATCTCCAATAAACCACTCAAAAAAGCTGGAAGTGGTGCTGTGGCTCAAGTGGTAGAGCACTCGCCTTGAGCAAAAGGAGCTCAGGGACAGTGCCCAGGCCCAGAGTTCAAGCCTCAGGACTAGCAAAAAAAAAAGAATGTAAAGAATGTGAGCTGGAAATGTGCAGAGGCAGGGATGGCTCAATCCCTCTTCCTCACACCCTGCAGTTACCCAGTTCCAACGTGTACACAGAGAGAGCTACAAGGACTTAAGATGCAGGAAGGATGCTAGGATGCTAAAGAGCTACAAGACCCCAGAGGTTGAGCAAAAGGAAGCCCTTCTTTCCCCCCCTCACCCCCCCCCAGCCCACCTTCGTAACAGGGCTTCAGGTCACTCTGGACAGAGCTGGTGACAGACTCGTAGATTCTCCTCTTCCTTCTGAGGATGTAGCCCTCCAGGCCTCCCAGGATGGCATTGATCTGAGAAGCCACACCAACACAAGACCATGTGGGACAGGTCGGGCATGTCTGCATCTGGCCACTCCCCTCCGCTTCCTGTGATGGCCCACTCTATGTCATGGCTGCGACTCGCTGTCAGCACCTCACGGGCCAGCGTCTGGCCCTCAGAATCCTCATACCCCTGAATGCTTCCATGGAGCCTGGCTCCTACAAACTATGGTCTGTAGGTATGTGCTGGGTTGAATCCAGGCCCAGGCAGGGTTCTGGAACAAGCTCTCTTTGGACAGGAAGTTGAGGGAAGGGCCAGCTGTCTCTCAGCATTGCCATAAGACTGGAGCTGGCTGCAGAAGAGAGAGCCACAGACAAGTCCTGTCTGTCCGCACAACCAACTGGTGAGGTATACAAATAACTAACTAAATAAATAGCCCTCATCTGTTTATGGTCCACGTTTCTCAGGGTCTCCAACTGGTACGTCCAGTCCCTGAACGCTTTAGAGGTACAAGTGGAAAGAGATGGAGCCTCAAGTCCTGCCCATCTGCTCTGCTTTATAAGGAACATACCTCCTGGATCAGGAAACTTTTCTTGTAGCTATCATATTTCCAGCCATTTCTTATCCTGATTTCTGTCATTTTCTCCTGCAGGGAGTGTTTAAACGCGTCTATGAGAGGCATCAGGGCGGAGCTGGTGGGCTTGCCTGCCCTATGGAGAAACAGCGTGGATAGTTGAGACAAGGAAATCAAGCTTGAACTGGCTGACGTCCTTCATTTCCTTTAGAGAGAACAGTGGCAAGACCGGACAGCTGTCACATTCCTCTCATGGGCCAGGCACCATGCTGTGTAAGAGGTCTGACACAAGCTCCTATACAATCAGTGGTGACTGATGCCCATTTTATAGATGAGAAAACTGAGGCTCTGAGGAGGGGTTAATGGGTCCCAGCTCATATAGTAAGGGCAGGTTCCAGCTCTGAACGCTGCTGTCACCTCTAAACTCTTTACTTCTGTACTGCCAAAGTATTCCCTGCTGGAAAGGGTGGAACTTGAACTCCAACCTAACACACAGCTCAGATGTAAGAGAGTGAAAAGAAGTATTAATCCTCATGGACAAGACAATGGCTGAGATTTCAAAATGCCCAGGAACAAGAAGCAGCAGGTTATGGAGTGTTTTGCAGGCAGTCGGGCTTGAATTTAGGGCCTTTTGCTCTTGCACTCTATTAATTGAACCACACCTCCACTTCCAGCCCTTTGCTAACTAACTGGATATAAAAGTGCTGGGGATTTTCTTGCCCAAGCTGGCTTCAGACCTCAATCTTCAGATATCAGCCTCCTGACTAGCAAAGATTGCAGGTGTGAGCCATTGGTGTCTGGCTTGAACCTGTCTAACTCTTTACTCATGGTTGGTTGTCACCAGGGAAGTCAGACTATTCTGAATTTCAGCTCATTCACGGGTAAGACTGCTGGAATCACGCAATGACATAATTAGTGTGTGCAGGTGTTCAACACAATGCCCGAGAGGGTTGCTCTCTGCTCCCCATCAGGCTGGCACACATAGGGTACAGGGAGTTGGGAGGTGGTAGAAGGTGTGGAAAGCCATGTAGAGGATCTGGGGTGTATCCCACAGCTTCCGAGGGAGGGGAGGTCAAGAATACCAGAGATTTTGGGAGAGAGGAGTGGAGCAGAGAGGGTGCTGAGGAGAAATGGCTAGAGCAGTGGCTGGTCAGTAGATCAACCAGCTGAAATGCCCGGGGAGGCAGAGGAGGAAGAGGGGACAAGCTACGTCACTAGGGAACAGGAGAAGCTCCTTCTGAGTGTGGACAACAGAAATGGATCGGGGAAGATAGGAAGGCAGGGCCTCTGCCCCCAGCTCAATGTCATGTTCATGAGCATGCAGCTGTCAGAAACTTTTTTCTTTTTGTTGCATTCAGGAAAAGTTCAGAAAACCATGTGTTTGCTTAAATCCCATGTGCTCCAATTAAAATACTGTGTCCTGGGCTCAAAACCCTAAGAAAACGTATCCTCTGCTGTATGCAGGAGATATTTAAAAAATACTGGGAATCATAATATTAGTCTGAAAGTAACATCTGAGACTGGACTCCAGGTCACCATTGGAAATTTTTGTAAGTAAAGCAAACCTAGAAGACTTTTGTGTTTTGCCAAAGGCTAAGCTTTCTTCCTCAAGGAACCAGCTATTCTTTACACTTGCAGGGCCAAAGAATAAATTCTTACAGCTGAGACTTTGGCTCGGCATTCTGCAGACATTTGTGCACACAGCAAAAAGATCCTTTACCTAAAAATGTCTCCAAACACAGGGTCGATGTGGTCATAGATGGGCCGAGTGATGGCTTCATTCAGGTCAATTCTGGCCAGAGTCCTGGAGGCATAGACGCCATTTTTCAGGCACACAGCTTTCAGAGTCTGGTGAAAGCCTTGGTTCCCTTTACTCCTCTAGACAATTAAACAATAGATTCTCAGAGTTAGCAGCATTCTGTAGAAAGTAACAGGATCAGATTTGCATTGGCTTTGGCCAAAGGCCACTACTGAGAATCACAGGAAGGAGTAGAGACAACATAGTATGTAAATTTATTATTAAACCAGATGGGGAAGACCACATGCCTGCCTCCAGGTCGGCTGGGAGCTCTGGCCTGGGCTCCCAGAATGCTGTGGGCTCACCTTGATTCAATGATTTTCATATGATTTATCAGTCTACTCACTTGTCAAGCGCTCCTATGGGGCCATCAGCGTGCAGAGATCTGGCTCAGAATCTCACCTGTCCTTGTATATTCCATATCAGGCAGAGACTTATGCAGTGCTGGACAGCTACTTGTTAAATGTGTAATTATGGGATGGATGGATGAAAACATGCTGTGACCTGACATGAACTATATGTCTTAGATTCCCTGAGGTGAGTGCAACTTTTGTGTACTTATTGTTAAGTATTTAATGGAACACGATTTGCTTTGCATACCTATTCCCAGAGAAATTTTTTTTCCTACGGAAATTTTCTCCTCGGGGGAATAAATTCATAAGTCAGAGGGAAATAGAAAGCAAGAGTCATTAATAAAATTTAGCCAAGGTCTGGGAATGTGGCTGAGTGGAAGAGTACTGGCCTAGCATACATAAGCCCTGGGTTCACCACATAAACAGAAAAAAGCCTGAGGTGGCGCTGTGGCTCAAGTGGTAGAACACTAGCCTTGAGCAAAAGAAGCTCAGAGATAATGCCCAGGCCCTGAGTTCAAGCCTCATGACAGGCTAATAAATAAATAAAGCCAAGACAGTGATTGTTAGTTAAGGAGAATTAAAAATGTGTTCGCTAGGCAGGCACAGTGGGTCACACTTGTAATCCTAGCTACTTAGGGAAGGAGCTAAGGAGGATGTGAGGGTGCTAGGCCAACCTCCCCAGCTATCTGCAAGACACCCCTAGCTCTCATTCTGTATCCACATCACACTGGCCCAGATTCACTCTTTTAACTCGTGTGTGTGTGTGTGTGTGTGTGTGTGTGTGTGTGTGTGTGTCTGTGTGTGTGTGTGTGTACTGGTACTCAGCTTTTTTGCTCCCAGCTGATGCTCTACCACTTGAGCCACACCTCCACTTGCAGTTGTTTTGTTGTTGTTGTTGTTGTTTTGTTTTTTTTGCTGGTTGTACAGAGATAGGAGTCTCCAGGATGTGTCTGCCCTGGCTGCCTCCAAAGTGTCCTGGCTGGCACCAAACCCTGCTTCTCAGATCAAGGATTCTAGAACTAAGCCGCCATCACTTGGCTCTCTTTTAGCTTTTATTTACATTTATTCTGTCCTATACTGGCAGCATCTCCTACTTCCCTTTCGTGTCAATTGTAGCATATTGGCCTGCTTATTTAGACACTGAAACAAAACACATAGAAAGTAAAACCCAGAAGAGTCCATATGCTCAAAAGTTATTACCATCCACAACCACGAAACACTTATAGAAAATTAATATGCTTTTCATTGCACTAAAAGCAATTCAGAGTATCAGCACTCTGCTCCCAGCGACAAAGATGTTCATATCATCCTTACTGCATGGTCAATATCATCCATCACCCTACGTAACTGGAGTTTGTTCCTCCAAAGTTTATATATTGAAGTACTAACACCCAATGTGATGGAATTTCCAGAGAAAGCCTACAAGTACAAGACATAGACACACACACACACACACACACACACACGAAAAGACCACACACAGGAAGTTACAGTGAGACCTCCAGATGCACGTCAAGGAGAAAGACTTTAAGAGAAACCAACCCTGCCAACATCTTGACCCTGAACATCAAGTACTCCAAAGTACTCCGTGAGAAGATAAATCAGTTTCGACCGTCAGCAGTTCATCTGTGGTGTTTCATCATGGCAGCCTGAGCAAACTAATGCAGTGGCTCCTTTTCCTCCCCCTGAGTCTTAGGTAATTCTGCCTTGCCCTTACATTTTCACCTCTCAGAAGCCTCATACAACTACTTAAGAAATAAGGTAATGAGAGGTTTCAAGATGTGTTCTTCCAGTAACGTCAAATGGACAATGACTTCAACACCACAAGATAAGTAGGGCAAAGCTTTGGTTTTCCCCTTCTATAGAAGAAAAAGACGAAAGGCCTTTAAATGGGTTCCATTCCTTGCCCAGGGCTCCATGGTGAATGCTTGGTGGCCTTCAAACTGAGTATCTTCATCCCAAGGTTCTAGGTATATCTCTGCTGAACCATGAGCCTCGATCCTTACAATGCACAGGTAATTCTCCATCTGTGTAATTTGTACTTTCTCCTACTGTCTTCTAGCTTTTTATCTCCATCGCAAACAATGGAATAGTGAAAAAGAGCCCGGCTCTCAGACAGGTCTCACTGAATAGCACAGGATTTCCCTGGAGGGAGGGGGTCACTCACCACCAGGCAGGCCCCCAGGATGCGTCGGTAGGAAGTCCTGGCCGCCTGGACCCCTTCCCACAGGGGTTGCTCGATGTGGGCAAAACACTGCTCAATGGCCTTCTCCAGCATCTCCGTCTTGTCCTCCACAAACCGCCGCAGGCCACTCATGTGCAAGTGCTCATTCTAGGGACAGGGCCGGAAGGAACATGAGGGCAGTCCCCTGCCAAGGCACCCTCTCCTCAAACTTCGCTTTTCCATTACGCTTGTCACCAGCCCAGGCTGTAGTTTGCAGTTTCCAGGCAGTTCCCCAGAAAGCTTTCCTTAGACTTTGCGAACAGGACAATTGGTGTTTCTGGAAACTTCCTTTAGTGTAAGCCCCACAGAGCTTTTGGGGATGTACTAATCTAGTAAACAAACCCGTTAAAGTAGATTTTCCCAACAACATCCGATTTGACACTTGATGACCTTTCACTTTGCACAAAGCAGTGTTCTGAGGAAAGAGTTTCAAAAGCTTTAATGTACATTCACATCACGGAGTGACCTTAAAATCTAAGGGCCTGGTCTACATTTCTAGGCAGCCCTCAGGCAGGCTGATCTTCTAGGCTCTTGACCACATTTAGAATAGCAAGCCATGGGGCCATAGAAATAAAGCCATGTTATTTCTCTTCACAAAAGAATACGATTGAATTAGGCAGAAAAAGAGTTGTGTACTACATAGCCATGTTCTGGTCAGCAATATATATATATATATATATATATAATTGCATATATACATATGCATATATTATACACGCATAAGTATAATTATATATGTACACACACATATGGACAATTTTCTCATATATGCTGAGCTTGAGCCAGACTTGGCTCTAGCCTGTGTTTCTAGCTATTAGGGAAGTAAAGTTTGGAGGATCACTATTCTAGGCCAGCCAAGGCATGAAAAGTCATGAGATGTCATCTCAACCAATAGCTAGAGGTGGTAGCACACACCTGTCATCCTAATTATGGGGAAAGAACAATGGCTGGGTGCAGTGATGCATGCCTCTCACCTCAGAGACAAAGCGAAACACAAATAGAAGGATCACAGTCCAAACAGACAGGATTAAAGCAAAACTTTGTCTCAAAAATAATCAACACAAGCCAGACTCTGGTAGTTCACAACTCTACTCGTAGCTACTCTTGAGACTGAGATCTGAGGGTTGAGGTTCAAAGCTAGCAAGGGCAAGAAAATCCATAAGATTTTTATCTCCAATTAACCACCAGAAAGCAGAACATGGAGCTGTGTCTCAAGTGATAGAGCACTAGCCTCGAGCAAGAAAGCTCAAGGATAGTGCCCAGGCCTGGCATAATAAAATAAACAAGTGACCAATACAAAAAGGGGTTGGTAGACAGGCTGAAGGGTGAGGCTGCATTCAAGTCACCAAAAACAATATAGTAAGGACAATGACCTGTGTGTGAGAGGTTTACACCACTGAGACTCGTGTGGATGCTCGTGATGTCATGTGACAAAGCCAAGGGTAGCCTTATTGCTAAGAGCAGCTTATTAAAGACAGAGGAAAGCTGTCACGGAGTCTGCTTAAATGCAGGATTCATTGGGACATTGAAATATCATATCAACTTCCTATCAATGCTTAAAAATCATGACTGCGTGTTTAAAATCATGAACTACCCGAACTTTAAGGTTTTGATTAGAATCTTGAAAAAATGATCAATCACATTACATTCTTAGGTCTGATATTTTTTTTTTCCAGAATTCAAAGGCACATAAGAATTTCCTTCCAACTTTCCATCAAAGAACTAAAACCACTATCAGAAGCCAAGGAATTTTGAGGAAAGCCAAGGAAACTCCTTCGGATTGCTCCTAGGGAGGTGCCCTAGGCCACCCCTGCCCTGTGTCTTCGATGAGGCCGCGGGCAAGCACGGGACTGAGACCCCGGGGGCTGCCCTCTGGGTTGGGAAGAAGAGCGTGCAGGACAGGCTTCTGGGTTTGATTGCAAAATGCCTTGTCCTTGTGCTTGTAAGAGAAACCAACCACACACAGCATCACATCTGATTCATTTTCCATCACTACTTCCAAAAGCAATCTTGTGTTGGGCAGAAAGGCAAATATCACCCTGAAGAACTTTTTTGGGAAGTTGGAAGGTCGAATCCTTTTCCCCACTCTTTCGGAGGACACAAGTCAAATGTGAACATCTCAGATTCCAGTTTTGTTTTGTTCTTGTCTCACACCACCAGACCAAAACAAAGCAAAGTATGAGGGAGAAGGCCGTGGTGTGGTGCTGTGTGCCACCACCATATGGGATTTTTCAGATGCAGGCATAGCGCCAAACTGCAGAGACTTTCCAGCTGGCACAGCGAATGTTCACATAGAAATCACGTCTGCAGTCTCGGCCTCTCCTTATCACTCCCCAGTCTCACCCAGCCCCATTTAGCCCATTCTAAAACCAGCCCACAGTGAACCTCCTCAACGCTTCCCTGTTTGGGCATAACAAGAAGTCAGATGACTCCAAATCTGATGGGTAAAAACAAGTGTGGGAGTAAACAAGGATCAACTAAGTGAGCAAAACAAAGACTAGGCACTCAGAGCCTGCTAAAGCAGGGGCATTTTCTATACCAGGCCACTGTCACACACCGTCCCTCAAATTTGACAGTGAGAAAGTTTTAGAGGGTAAAAGAGAATAGACTTCAGGTATACCCCAGATGGAGTCTATGGGTATGGGGGGAGTGGGAAACAAGCTAACTAAATGCAGCTGGTCCCACGGAGTGCCTAGGGGTACATGCATGGCCTTTACATCACAGAAGCTAGGAAGTCCTGGTTACTTAGGACTGACCATTAAGGAAGTCCTTTCTAGTTTTCCTGGATTGTTGCTGGAGACAGACAGTCTGACCATCTCTAAGTCCTTTAGAGACAGAGCCTGGCTTCCTGGGCTGGGTATTTATTGTAGGTAAGGGGTTGGTTTCCTGGGTAGCTTGCGGCACATGGTGGGGCCAGGTTCTGGTTTTCTACATGGTTTCACTGCTGCTGTATATTCAGTTCAAAGGAACAAACCGGTCAGTGAATGACTAGAGGAGCTGACATTTTTCAACTCTCCTCAAGCCTCTAAGTCAGTAGCTTATTCTGCTTACATTCGAATTTAAAAAGACATCCATCAAAGAGATATATCCATCTATTACCAAGAAAAACATGATTGTGAATTAGATATCCAAAAGGCCTGAATTCTAGACAGTGAAAATAAACTTTTAAGCTTTGCTGAAGTTCCCTCCAATTTCCTTCCTGTCACACTCTTTTATCATACTACTTCTTTGAGTTGGAGATTCTGAGAGTAACAGAGCATGAAGGAAATCCACGGACAGATGACCATTTGGGGGAATTGTGTGCACACAATTCTACCAAACGACCAGTGATCACCTGTATTCCACTAGAAGTAAACCAAATCACCCTGCCATCTTGAAACACATCCCAAGTCTCAGGAGAGATGAAAAGATCCACTATTTTTTCTTCTTTTTTGCTTTTCCCACTGAACATTTTTTCATTTTTCTTTCAGCCCATCTGTCCAAGTAAAATATTATTCCTTTCCCTTTTATTCAAGTATCATAATTTTAACTCTTTGATTATTGTGTTTGTCTCCTTAAGTGCTCTTAGAATTGTATCTTCCTTTGACTGGTAAAGAGAAAACACTGTAAGTTAATATTCCAACAGGGGACAGGGAACATCTTTCCAGGCAGAGGGAAAGAATGGACACCCAGGGATCTTCCTTACCAAAAGGTTGTCTGCAGAGTTGAAGCCCTCCATGAGGAGCAACAGGCCAAAGGCTTCTGTGATATACTTGGTCACCATCCTCTTCTTCTCGTCCAGGAGTCTTTTCCTGATAAACTCTCTTAACTTAGGGATCTCTGGAATTCACAGGCAGTGCAAACACTTTAAAAAGCTGGAAGTTGGTAACCAATAGAATTCCTAAGAGTTGAAAGATGAGGTTGGTGGTCTGGATAAGCGACAGCTGCGCAAGCTGAAGGACCACATCTATGACCAACCACAATGGATGGTAGGCCAGCAAAGCTGAATATTAATTTTAGTTAGCAGCAAAATACATAGAAAACTACAAGCTGGCTAAAATAATGGGCACTTTCCTTTGGGTTGCTGTTCTCACTGCAGAGAGGAAGCAAAGGTGGTTGTTTCTAGAGTCTAAGCTCTTTGGTCCTTCTAGATGTTTCTATGCCATGTATCCTGAGCATCAGGACAGCCCATCTTGGCTTTCAAGAGGATCAAGTACCCTGTGTGTGTGTGTGTGTGTGTGTGTGTGTGTGTGTTCTAGATCAGAACTTGCCTTCATCCTAACCCTTTGACAGATAGTGTGTGTTAAGGGAGATCATGGTTTTACTGTTATTCAAATTAAATAGAATTTTTCTGCTGAGTTCCATACATATTCCTGCTGATTCTATCTTCTATGCCCTGTTCAATCAGTGCCCACTCTCTATGTCTCCACTCACACACGTGTATAGCTCTAGACAAACGGGTAGAATACAAAGTGAGCCCTGTTGGGCTCAGATCAAAGTCCAGCTCAACCCAGGCACCATTGGCTCACACCTGCAATCGTAGCTACTTCAGAGGATGAGATCTGAGCACTGAGGATCAAAGCCCAGACAGACAAATCCTAGCAACATTTATCTCCAATTAACCAGAAAAAAAGCTGAAAGTAGAGGTATGGCTCAATTGGTAGAGCTCCCTCCTTGAGTGAAAGAGCCGAGTACAAAGCCTGAGCTCCAGCCCCAGCACCGGCGCTCATATCCAGCTGTGAGCTAGCAGGCTTGCCTACAAGGACTCAAGATTCTCTGACCTTCGCCTGTGTTCACAGCCAGCAATGTGTCTGGCTGTCCTGTTAATTTTTTGCACATGGATTCAAATTAGCTCTTCATGTAGATGTCAAGTCTGTTTAGGAAAAGAACGAGGCCTTCTACCTTCTCGGCCTCACTGCAAAGGCACATGATACACACTCGGAAACCACGTGTGGTGCCTATTGTTGGGTAGGTGAGGAAGACCATAATGCATTCCAAGGAAATAACCACCGGCCCCTTGACCTCTTCTAACTGTTGGGAAGATCAGAAGGAGAGAGGAACTGTGGAGCCAGGCCACACAATGCAGGGTGAAAGAAAATAGAATAGATCATAGATTTGCTAATAGTCACAGATACCGTGGCAAGTTGGGATGGGGGGTGGGGGTGGGGGTGGAATTGGGAAGGAAACTTCTGTGGCACAAAATGTTCAAAAGCAGGATGTTGGGAGTGCCAAGAGAATGTCAGCGATGGAAATAAATGTCTATTACCAGTTTGTTCCTCGGTGAGGAGGGCCTGTTGCCAGTACTCTTGGGCGCTGACAGTGTACACCAAGTCGGAGGCTTCCAGAACCTTCAGATAAGCTGGCAGTTTTCTCTGCAGTGAGAGAGGCACACAAGGCAGCCCAGGTCAAGGGTGGCCGAGGAAACACTGCACAGGTCTCAAGAAAGAACTGGGCAAGATCAGCTCATTCACTGCCAGTTCCGCAAGAACTCAGCAAGAAACACAACAGGGTCCTGTTGCCATCTGTCCACTCTTAACAAGGTCAGAAGAAGCAGTGAGAAAATCGCTGCCTACAAACTGACTTCTGGGAGTAAAAAAAAAAATAGCAATTTTAGAAGAAATGTGGGAGGACGAAGTTGAAAGGCAGGGTGGCGTGTGGAGCCCGGCCAGGGGGGGCGTTTGGTGAGACAGCAGGCGCACTGCAAGTCGCCCGAGGAGCAAGCCTAGTGCTCCACCCTTTCAGCTTCTCACTCGCAGCGAAAGCCACCTTCTACAGGAATAGGCCTGGAAGTTTGAGGGAAGTGGAAGATGGGGAAGGGTTTCCCATCTCTTTCTAACACAAGATATAAAGAGCAAGGCAAGGCAAGTTGTAAACACGTACACACGTACGTAAGGTCAGAATGGAGACATGTACCAGATTCCAGAAGCCCCCATGTTATGGGTTGAATTGTGCCACACAAAAAAAAACCCCGCCCCAAATGTTCTAATTCCAGGTAGTCAAAATGTGGCCTGGGTTAGAAACTGGGTCATCCCATTTCACAATGTAGCCTGGCACCAGTAGCTCATGCTACAATCTTACCTACTTGGGAGTCTGAGAGGAAGAGGATGGAGGTTCAAGGCCAGCCTAGGTGTATACCTGAGGTCCCTCTTCAACCCAAAGCCTATCGTTCTAAGCTCCCTAGGAGACTGAGATTGGGAGGAGTATGGTTCCAGACCTGCCTGGGCAGAAAAGCCCACAAGATCCATCTTAGCAGCTCAGCTTCGTAAAGGAGGAGCTGGCACGATATACACTGTGCATTATCAAACAGATTCCTCGCACTGAGCAACCCTTGGGAAGACTGTTGGTCTTATTCTCCATGAGTAGTTTTGGTCCTTCTTACGGCACTTGTCTGCAGCACTGAAAGTGTTGAGCACTCTCCCTCCTCTTAAATCCTCACGGCAGCCCCTGACCTCACCTTACCCTCTTCTGTATCCTTCCTATCTCTGCAGCCTCTTTTTCCTCCATTTTTATTTATATACTTAAAAAAATCAACATACAGCTATACAAATGTCTTATGATAAACTTCAGTCTCAGTTTCTATGATGAAAATTAAGTTTCCTCTCAAGTGGTTGCAGACTTTAGGCATCACTCAGCCACTGGACCTCAGAACTTTCACCGCAGCGGTAAGATCAGCAGCAGCCCTGCAAGCAGATGCTGCTGCCACCCGGCCCCTAGCTCACACAAACCAATTCGCCATGTTTATTAGCAATAAATGTAGTTGTGAATTGTGCATTGAAAGTATCTTATGTTTCCAGTTCCAGAAATAATATGATTAGGGCCTCATAAAATGCATATTTCTTTCATGCCAACAAGACCAATTCAAGAGATTAGGAACAGCTTTACTTAGTTATCGCCTCCAGAGCATTGGCATTTGATGGCTTCATGGAAAACGTTGGCTAAAGAGCCAGGCCTCATCATCCCTAGCTGTTAACAAACACTTTGACATTTTCAGTCCCACGTCCGCAACAGACGTTCACAACTTCAATGTTACCCGGAGTCAAAATCCAGGAAGTCACCCAGTGTGGAACTGGTTAGAGGCCAAATGCCTTTTTCTACCAGCAAACCCTAACCCTGAAGGTTTAGTTTTGGCAAAACCACTTCATCTATCAAATTATATTCACTCACATATGCCATTTTGTTTCATTGCAACTTAAGATTGGTTTCAGTTTTATAGCCTGTACAAGACTAGTAGAATAAGAAGCTTCATGTTTGTGTTATGTTAGTGACCAAGTAATAAAGATAATTTAAGGAAACAGTAAGATTCGTACTGAGTGATTACTTAAGCTCGAAAAACTCAGCTTGGGATTTCTTGTCAATCATGTTTGCATTTCTGCCCCAAGTGCCCCCCCCCCACCTCCTACTTCTTTCTTTATCTTACTAAAGGCTATTTGTTCTTTAAGGTTGATAAGAGGCTGAAGGTTCTCCTTCACCTCTCCACAGTACCATCTGCCCCTAATAAGAGAGGTTTCAGGAATCTTTGCCATGTTTGCACAGCACATCACATCACAATTCTCACATGAAAGACCACACCCTGTGTGGTTTTCCCTGATTGGCTGAGACATCTTTCTCAGATCCTCATTCAATCCTTCCAACAATCAGAGTCAGATCCTGTGAGCTCCTGTGATACAAATGAGAACATGGAGGCCCAGAGGAATAATGTAACTTGCCTAAGGTCCCAGAGGGAATAAGCAATAGACCTCTGGTTATAGCTCAGGGTGCAGAGTCTGCCTAACATGTGCGAAGCCCTGGGTTCAACTTCTACTACCACACCAAAAAAAAAAAAAGACAGTGGGGCTGAATTAGATTCTAACTGCCCACTCCAAAGCTTTTGCTCTTTCTACTACACAAGACAAACCCTTGTGTTTGCTGCTCAAGTTCTGATGGTTACAAAACAGAAAAATACACAGAAGATCGGTAAACTCACTTTCAGTTTTTCCTTGAGAAGTCTATTCCTTTTCAGTTTTATTGTTTCATTTCTTTCCAAAATAGCCTCCTGCTGACTTAGAATAGTGTGCTAGATTGGGAAAGGAAATAAAAGCATGAAAAGAAGGATAATCAGTAAGGATAAGTGGTGAGGCATATTAATTACTTTGGCCATCTTCATTACACATAAAAAGGTAGCACTGATCATGAAAGTAACTGGTCCATACTTACATTTCCCACCTTTCTTTCCCTGAAATGAAATTAGAAAAAGATCACAATGATTGAATTTTAACTTTGTGTTCTGGAACGTTCCCTAAAGCAGCACGGTCAGCCATGTCTCAGGCCATTATATAAGCTCTCCACTCCCTCTTCTGACCACCTCGTTTCCAATCAGAGAAAAGTGTCTTTAGCTCTCAACAGTAAGGCAGTTTACACTCTGGAAATTTCCTGTGACCCCCTCCCCGCTCCCCATCAGAAGGCAGCCCCCTTAGCCTAGGACCTCACAACACTTTGCTTATTATCCCTGGAATATATCATCTTTAACCCTCTTTTACCCCATGGCTCAGAGACCACAGCCCCTGCCACAATACTCGGTAAATATTTACTAACTCAGACTTAATTATGTTTCGCTGATGTGGCATTGGAAAGGGTGAGCTTGAGATATTTATTCTGTGGTGGTAGATGGCGTGCAGAGAAACTGCAGGATGAAGCTGAAACGTCTGACCTAGCTCATGGGGGCCAGTGAATTCTTCAAGACAGCAGTCAGACTTGAGTCTTAGCGACCTTGGGGGAGAGGGTGAAAGGGACAGGCAAAGGAGCTCATGTAAGAGCGTCGGTGACTTGCCTTGGCACCCTGTGACCACACACTCCAGATGCCCTGCACAGCCCAGTGCACACACTGCTCCCTCCACTCTCACAGCTGTCTGAATATGGAAGATACCTTACAGTCTTCCTACTCGCTGAGGGCCAGAGATAGCCAGAAATCCACATCTATTAACGCCACCTGAGCTCTTTTGTGCTCACCTTCTTAAATGTTAGGTTGACTCTAAGAGAATGCGTTTACTTTGGGGCCAAAGTTCTCAAGCTTTGAGGACCTTTTCAAAGGTCAGTAGTCAAAGCTGGAACGGGACTTGGGGTCTTTCTGGAAGGACCTTCTTTCACACGCACTCACAGCCCAGGAGGAGTGTGTGGCTGATGAGCAGCAGCTGCATGGAGGACATTGGCTTGGTACCCAGGTGGAACCCAGACCCGCCCAAGCCACCTCAGCGGTCACGCACAGGTCTCTTTCATTCCCAGTGGTCACTTCCCAAAGCCAGCTTCTCTCATTATTGCAGTCAGAGTTGCGCTGGGAGCCACCGCCCATGGGCCCGTCTCTCTACCTTAGATATTCCGGCAGGTGGAGTTTGTCGGTCTTGGTGACCACCAGGGCAACGTGCCGGCAGAGGCCGCGCTGGCAGGCTCTGACACTCTCATTCAGAAGCTCTTCGTGGGCTCTTGCTCCAGACACTCTCTCTATGTCGCTGATCACCCAGATGGCTGAGCACCTGTCGATGGTCTGCAGAAATGCCCAGAATGTGTATGAGAATGTGGACGGCATTTCAGCTGGGGAGGCTGCGGCTCTCTGTGGACCACTTTCTCTTGCTGCCCTCGCTCAGAGCCACACCTCTTCCGAGCTCCCATCCTATTCTGTGCACCGGTGGAGCTGGTTTCCAGACTGCCTTGCTCTTTTGGCTCTCAGGGCCTTTGCATTTGCCACACCCTCTGCTTAGGCCTTCACCGTGGAGGCATGCACGCACTGACTACCTCTCCCTGGCATCCTATTCACCCAGACTGCTCGGGTAGCACCTTTCAGACAGGGCTTCCTGCAGGCAGCTCTCTGTTCCCCAAGAGAAGGGAATGTCACCACCTTGCATCCTGGAATCCACACAGCTCAGGCATAGATTTGGCCCATACCAGAGCTTCCAAGCTACCTGCAGGGGAACTGATTAAGATCAATCAAGAAATCAGTCCTCTGAGCTCAGATTCCTCTCTTGGTTGACCTTGACTGTTCCCTAGGAAAAGTGGCTTTGCAGAACTCATTTGGGTCATGCATCTACTGCGAAGCTGCCACCTTGTCTCGTCCTTCTGATGTGTGTCCATGCCTGTTACCACATCGCCACCTATGAAGGAGCCAGACACACGATGGCTTAAGTTGCAAAGATTCATAAACAAGAAATTATGGGTAGTGTAAACACTGCTTTATTAATTATGTAGCTTTTGTACTGCACACTATCATGCACTGCCCTGTGATTTTTTTTTTTTTTTACTGAATTGTTTTGCTTGTCTTCTCTCCATATAATGAAATGTTGGTCTGGTCAGAGATCAAGTTCATTTGTGGTCTCTCACAATAATACTTCGGGGTTACTAGTTTGTGGCTTGTTAATTACGTTGTTATTTTACTTTATACCCGTGGTTGTAACTAGTGGAGATGTTTGTGCACAAACATATCCAGCAATATCTGGAGACGTTTTTAACTGTTAAAACCTGGAGGCTCTTGTGGGTAAAGACGAACCATCCCCCAATGTCACAAGGTTCAGCTAGGTAGTGGGTTTCAAACTTGCTTTTTCTAAGACTGCACAGCTGGTGAGGAGCCAAGTTCGCAGTGGAGAGGTTTCCTAACATCAGCTGTCTGGTCCAGGACAACCCCTTTTTCTGCAGTCCCAGCCTCCTTCCCTTTGGTCCATACCTAGCCCAGACTAAATGCATTGGGAAGAATTCCACTGTACGAGCTGGATTTTTAAAACCAAAGTTGCTCTGTTCAAATCGGGAATGGAGCGTTGAGCTTCACCACGGGCTCAGCGCCTCCCTGAACCTTTTGACTCCAGAGATCATCGCTTAAAATGTCATTTAACCAGTTAGGCCAGTCCCTTGAAATATGAGAAGAAAACAGGTCCTGGGAGGAAAAAGAGCTACTTAGAGCCAGGTCTACAGGCCCTGACCCATTACTTGTGAAGGATTACATTTAGACAAGAAAACAAAAACAAGGGCTGTCCTTCCACTTCTCAAATTACAGTCAACTTAGAGGAAAGTGGGGCGGGAGGGGTCTTCACCAGCCATAACAAACAGCAAATGTCCCCAAAGATGTGGAAGATCAAAGGAATCCCTCCAAGGAGCCTCTTTCCCAGGTGTTCCCCTCGGTCCTGGTAAACTACAGGTGCTTCATAAGTGTGTATTAACAGGGGAAATGACGGCAGTCATAAAGACTGCGTGAAATTTCAGGTCCACACGAAGCTCCTGACTGCCAGGATTTGGTACAGTAAGACCTGAGGAAGATGCAAAAAAAAAAAAAAGCAGGAAATCTGTACAGCAAGACTGACTCGACCTCTAAGTGGGGTAGCCCCCCCCTCCCTCCCAGAAGGACAGAGGGTCCCAGAGGGGTCCGGTGCCTAAAGTCACACACCCTCTAGGCAGCCAGGCAAGGATGGCTGGATTTCTAGTCATTTAGGGAAAGACAAGGCTGGCAGCCACAGAGACGTCGCTGAGCGGCTGTCCCTGGGAAGGCCCAGCCTCAAGTAACTTCTTGTGAGAGGCCATCCGGAAACCGCAGGAATGTGGGGGAGCCGGGGCCAAGCAGAGCATGCTGGAACCATCCTTCACTCCAGAGACCTCCTCGGAGAGAGTCTCCAGCCAGATGGGCCTGCTTTGATAAGCTGCCCAGTGTATCTGGACTGGCTGCAACCGCACTCCATGCAGACGAAGTGCCTGGACTCTCTCCAGCTGTCACTTCCTTGGCTGACGGTTCTACTCCCAGGGCTGACACCTGAAGGCTCCCATGGCCTGAGCCGGAAGGATACTTGGACCCCTCGTCTTACAGAAAGTGGAAAGGGGGCAGGACGGGTGGGGGGGGGGTAGGAGAGGTGGTAGGTGGAGCTAGGAAGCTGGAAAGCCTGCTCTCTATTGAAAATTCTGCCATTCACTAGCTGTGTGGTCTTGGGTAAATCACTTTCCCTCTCTGAGCTTTCATGGTTTCTGTAAAATCAGGGCACAGGTTAGATGACTATAAGCACTTACACCAAGTCTAGATCATTATTGCAGCGCAGTCACAAAGCTCCCCCGTGCACACACACACTTATTCACCCAGTGAAAACCTACACTGGAAAGAACTGAGTGCTTTGCAGGGGAGGGATGGGAGGGGCGCTCAGAGCTCCTGTTGCCTGACGGCCCCCCATCCCAGGCTCTCATGCTCTGATCCCTACCCTTGTTCCACAGCTCCTTCAATTCGCCATGCCTTTCCTTTCTATGCCACAGACCCTAGTCCCGCTAGCCCTTTAGGTTTCCCCAGGAAGTTAAATTCCATGATGGTGGGATTGTCTATAGCAGCCTGGTGCCAACATTTCCAGGCTTGTCTTCCTCCTTCTCCCTCCTCCATCCACACCCCACACCCAGGAAGAGCATCCCTCATCCCTGCCGCCCTCTGCCAGGAGAGGGGGTGGGTGGCTGATGGCTGGTGGGAGCTGGGAGCCGGTCAGCTGAACTGGCCACGCCCTCAGCCCCCCTCTGAGAGGTCGCTGAACTCTGGCTGGAGGGGTAGACCTCCACCCAGCCCGCCACCTTCCATCATGGCTGCCTGCATTAAAGATAGCACTGACCAGGAGTTGGACAGTAATCTAGAAGATTTTCCTCCTAGCAATGTGATCTAAAGACATAAAAACTACAGCAGACAATAGTAAGCTCATGAAGTACAAGATCATCTAGAGACAGAGGTGAGGTGGTCCCTTCCTCCCTCCCTCCCTCCCTTCCTTCCTTCCTTCCTTCCTTCCTATTTCTTTCTTTCTTTTCTCCAATAGATTTGACCCTTGCGCTTGCTAGGTAAGTGTCATACCACCTGAGCTATACCTCCAGTCCTATTTGCTTTAGTTACATTGTTTTTTCTAGGTAGGGTCTCACTTTTTGCCTAGGGTTGGCCTCAGATTGCAATCCTTCTACCTACCTCTCTCTCACAGCAGGGATTACAGGGGGAACTGATCAGCCTGGTTTTTATGGAGTTCATTTCAAATAGTATTCAGAAGCATGTAACCACTGCACCTTTCTGTTCCTCCTTAAGGGTCTCCTAGACCTCACTGTGTGTGAATGCCTAGAATCTTGTATATGTTCAGCTTGATGATGAGATGAGTGGTCTTAATAGCTTATTGTCCAAGCTGTCCTTGAACCACAGACCTACCAAGGTGGCAATGTGTGACAATATGTATCCAAACAGCTGACAGAGCAAAGGATCTTCATAAACAGCACTTTGTATCCAGATACACAAAGGGAAACAAGTCTTGGGAGACAGGGCAGAAGAAGAGGGAGAGAGAGACAGAGAGACAGAGAAAGAAACAGAGACAGACAGGGAGACAGACCATGAGAGAGAGAGAGAGAGAGAGAGAGCGCACAGCTGGTGCCATCCATGTCCTAAGGTCTGGCCTAGGTCTCGGAGGAGACCCTCCAGTTCGTGTTCGCTAACCCCTCTTGATTTGTGTTGGTCTGGGGGGGGGGTCTCTGTTCCTCGTGGCATAGCCGCAGCCGCTTAGCTCTTTGGTGACTGGCTGCTCTGCTTTGCGCCCCTGCCTTCCCGGCTGCCTCCACCGCTCTCCCTTGCTTCCGCAGCTCCTCCCGAGGTCTCCCCGCAGTGGTCCTGCTCAGATATCACGTGCTCTGTGTCAGCCACAGGTCCACCCTGTGATTCCTCCTTGCCAGATTCCTGTGGCCACCCACATCCTGCCCTTGTTCTGCTCTAGTCAGAAACAGAAGTTTCCGTGGACCCATAAAATCCCTTGAGAGCAGAACACTGTTGCTTCCTAGAAAGGATGGCGTCGTGGTGGGAAGAGGGACCGAAGCCCTCGGAAAAGCATCACCTTTTTCCACATCTCGTCCCGTTTGCAGTTGAAGTCGCCTGTGCCGGGAATGTCCACCAGCACCACCCCTTCTGGAATCAGGGCAGATCTGGGAAGAGTCACTTCCACGTGCTTGATCAGGGGCCAGATCTGTGTCTCAGCTGATTGTCCACGCTGGTCTCTCCTCTGAGTCCGAATGTAGGGGTCCAGCTTGATTGACAGCTCTCCTGCCTGAGGAGGAGGGACAGAGCTGGTTCATGGAAGGTATGCTGAGCAATGGTGAGAAGTACATTGGCGGGTACCAGAATCTTCTCTACAAGAGCCTAGCCCTTGAGAGCCAAGAAGGATCTGGAAGACGAATCTCCTTCACTTTCAGATGAAGAAACCCAAGTCGGCTGGAAGCTGACTTTGGGGGAAGTTATAGCCTATCTGGATAATGAATTATCTTAGAAAAATTGTAAAATAATGGTAGTTACTATGCAAATTTCTAAACTGTGAGGAGAATGGATCCCTCCCTCACGGCGAAGACAAACCTGTTAACTGCCAGAAAGCAACCATCTACAGAACATCAATCATGTAATAGTAACCCTATTTCTCCAGTTGACAACTGATCTTTAAAAACGAATCTTCCATCAACAAAACATTATCTTGATATATAGGCTTTTCCAGGACATTTTGACCACAGCAAGCATGTCAGGAAAGAGCTTTTGGCCTCCTGTTCCTGCTTAAACATATCTGGGATGCACACATGTTAATACTACTTAGGAGGCTGAGACTGGGAGAATCGTGGTTTGAGGCCAGCCTGGGCTGGAAAGTCCACATGACTTCATCTCAACAGAAGAAGTTGGGGCTAATGGCATTCCCAGTGAAATGCAGGAGAGCCATGGTCCAGGGTGTCCTCAGATAAGAGCAAACGAAGAAAGTCCAGTTGATTAGCATTCACATGTTCTCAATGTTATCATTTTCATGTAAAATGCCACCTTAATGAATCCTCAGCTACCTGCAAAAGCCCTTTCTGTCTACAATAAAAGACGCCCCTCCATTCAGACACCTGAAAGCCCACTTCATGGCCATAAATAATGAAGGGGGGGTGATTTGGGTCATAGGTAATTTTGATTTGGGTATCAATTATTTTTAACAAAAATATTAAACCTTGGGTAAGTCTTCTAAATTCATGCAACCATATACTTAAGACCCATAACCGGAAATCAGAGAGAAACCTGAAGCTACCTCTTCCGCCTGGAGGAGGATGACTCTCGAGGGGGGAATCTTCACCTGGGGCCTCACCCTCAGCAAGTCCTCATACTCCCGGCCTTCCGCCCCAGCTCCATAGACCACCTGCAGCTTCCAGATGGCTTCCTCCACCGCCTCCTCCCTGTCCCAGGACTCCGCCTCCTCTCCATCAGCGCCCTCGGTCATGTGCAGCAATTGAGTCAAGTTCTTCAGTTCCTCCTTCCACTCCTGCCAAAGCAAAGCAAGGGCCACATCCCACGGGACACAGATGGAGAAAACATCAGGCCACAGGACCCGGACCCATTCTCCTCTCACTCTCCTGAACATTCTCATTCGGTAGTATTTCCCTCCCATTTGTCAAAGGCATGAGCTGCATTTAGAAGAAATACAGTGATCTCTGAGAGACAGTGAGAAGGGGAAAAAATCAAAGGAAGAAAAGAAGAATGAGAGAGAAGGAAGAGAAAAAGAGGGGAAGATTGAAGGGAGGGAAGAAGGGAAGGAAGAGAGAGGGAAAGAAGGGAAGGTGGGAGGGACGAAGGAAGGAAGGAAGG